AGGCCACATGCCGGGACAGGTAAGATACTAACCATATGCTCTCTCTTCACAGCGTACAAGAAAACATGAATAATCCCAATAATGAATGTAACTGTACTGTATACCTAAAATGTACCAATAAACTCAATGAGGAAAAAAAAAACAGAATCCATGAATAAAAGGACGTAGGCACACACATATCAATAGCAACTAACATTGACAGAACACTTGGTTTGTTTATAACCACATTCCTAATAAATGCAGACACACAGAGACTATTGCCTCACAATTTACCAGTCTTGACATTTTTCCATTTATACAAGATGGACAAGTGTTCGTCGCCTCCTCACACTGCAAGAACATCTAACACATACTTGTATTTATAGAAAGAAAATGACTAAAATTATTGAGCTCGATATTTCAGATGCTGCCTTTGGTATCTGTCAGATACAAAACCACTTCCCAAAGAAGGCCCATTTTTGTATTCCCAGCTCAATCCATTTCCCCTTGACATACATACCCATGTGTTGACTTATATCCCACCCACACGTCGTTGACGTCCTAACCCCCTATACCCTACTTAGAATGTGACCTTATAAGGAATTAGTCTTTGCTGATATAATTAAGATGGGGTCACATAGAAGTAAGGTGGGCTTCTAATCCAACATGACTCATATTCTTATAAGAGATACCACAAATAGTACCCCACTGAGAAAAGTGTGCATGTAGGTGGGTCACAGAGATCATGCCTTGGGTATGGAATGACAGTGTATCTGTGTGTCAGAGGGTTTGAGTCTGCATGCACATATATTATGGATGTGAAGCCAAGGAACATTTACCCCTCTACTATTTCACATTTATATATATGCCTGAGCAACCCTTCTCCCCCTACCTTCACTGTAGCCTTCAACCTAAACTGCAAGTGTCCTCTCTGCTTGGATTATTAATTAATCCATGTACTTCCCCTGCCTCCCTTTGCCAGTGGGCGGATGGCAGTTTATGAGTGGTAATTAAGGCTCTATCAGGACACTAATCAAAGTCATCCATAAAAGGCATCTAACCCTGACACTGTTGGAGGATTCAGGGCCCAAGGACTTGAAATGCAGGGAGGAAAATCTTTCAACAAAGGAGCCAGGTGAAAGGATACACTGGGCCTGACCTGCTGAGATTCCAAGCTTTGCCCCCCACCCAGAGCTCCTCCCATCTACAATTCAAGCTGTCCTTTAGTTGTTTCCAACTCCTCTTCTGCTTCCAACCTTGCTTAACAGGCAGCTGTCCATTTTGCCCAAGAAAATTGCTGGCCTATGTGAAAAATGCACATATATGTTTCACACAAGTTACAAAGTTGGAGTTATGACTCTGAGTACCATTATTTACCAGCTATTCCAGGTAGATAAGGGGTACCTATTCTTAGAAGGCAGATCAGGCTATTTTAAAGTCAAACAGGTGCTGGAATAGATAAAGAATAATATAGAATGGGAAAGGCCAATAATAATGGAAAATATATACAGGGGCACCAGGTGCCAAGCATTTTATGTGGTTCATATCCACATTTCATCCTGCAACCCTAGAAGCTAGGTTAACATAAAGTCTTAACAGTTTGCAGAAACAGAGGCTGAGAGCCAGGCGTGGTGGCGCAGGCCTGTAATCCCAGCACTTGGGAGGCTGAGGCAGGAGAATCACTTTGAGTTCGAGAGGAGCCTGGGCTACATAGGGAGTTCCAGGTCAGTCTCAACTGCATAGTGAGACCCTGTCTCAAAAAACAAAAACAAACCATAAAAAGAAACAGAGGCTGAAAATGATGAACTGAGCAAAAGTCACATAGCCAAGATATGGTAGAGGAGTGTACTAGTCCACTTTTTTTTCTCCTCATTGAGTTTATTGGTACAATTTAGGTATACAGTACAGTTACATTCATTATTGGGATCTTGTACTTTTACATGACAGGTCTTGGTTCTCATTTTTCCCCCTTGTCCCTGCCCTCCCTTCACCCCCTCCTCCCCTCCCCATTTGCAAACACTTTATTTTCATTTTCTTATATTTTTTTCTTTTCCCTTATTACCTTTCCCCTACCCTTCCCACTTTCCCTCACCTTTAGCCCTTTTCTTCCTATTTCACACTAATTATCTCATTAGGATCTTATGTACTATTGTAGTTTTTCATATCAGAGAAACTATTTGGTATTACATGTGTGTGTATTAGTCCACTTTTCATTATTATAACAAAACACTGGAGGCAGGCTACTCCTTATTTTTTTTTTTTAAGTTAATTTTGCTGCATGGTTTTAGAGGTACAAGATCCAGAAGTATCTGGTGATAGGTTTCTGGTTGCAGAGTCTTGAGGTAGCATTGAGGATGGCATGGCAAGGGAGAGGGAGCATTCATGTCTGTGTGTCTATGTCTACTTTCTCTCCCTCTTACAGAATCAACAGGATTCGTCTACGGCCATATCACCCTGAACGTGCCCAATCTTGTCAGAATCAACAGGATTCATTTACAGTGCCTCCACTATAATGATCTTATCTAATCTTAATCATTTCCCACAGTCCCACCTCTAAAAACTAGTTACATTGTTTTCATCCTCTTTTTAAAGGTTACCTTTTACTACCTCCGAGGGGATTAAACTTCAGCATAAGAATAGGGGGGCACCATATTCAATCCACAGCATGAAGGATTTGAAATGTATGCAGACTTCAAGCTGATCTTATCTTCATATTTGGGGACATTAAAAAGCAGGCTTCTGGGAAAAGAAGACAGATGCAAAAGGACTTACAGAATCTCTAAATGGTACTGAAGCCCTACATTACAGAACTAAAATTCCATGTTCCTACTCCACCTGCTCCTCCATCTCTTACTTGCCAAAGAAACACCACCCTGAGGTCACTGGTGACAATGGGTAGGACAGTTTCACCTCTCAAAGCACCTAAATTCTGTGTATAGAGAATGAAAAAGGTCACGGATGGGACCTGGTAAGCTTTTGCATGTCCCTTCTGGGAAGCGAGTGCCTTATGACAGATGGTAGGAACTGTTTCAGCTCTATGGCTACAGAATCTCTGGCAATGGCACAGGATATGAGGGAAGACAGGTGTTGCAGGAGGGACTAGAGTTTCTGATACTGGCTCACTGCATGGGAAATGTTACTTTAATGAATTGATTTTAAACTTCAAACAAACCTACCAATTGTCATATACACAGCCAAAGTCTAGAAGGCCAACGCAATTTCGCTGAGTGTACGTAATGCTATGGTTTGAATGCGTCCCCCAAGATTCATGTATTAGAAACTTGACCCCAACATGACCATGATGACACATGGGTCCTTTAAGAAGTGGTTAGGTCACGAGGGCTCAGCTCTTGGGGATGGATTAACTGGGGATGGTTACTGAGGGAGTGAGTTCCTCATAAAAGGTTGAGTCTAGCCTCCCTCACACCCTTGCCCTTCTGCCTTCTGCCATGTGATAACACAAGAAGGTCCTTGCCAGAAGCAGCTTCTTTTACTTTTGGCTTTCCAGCCTAGCCCCTAGAACTAAAAGCCTTCGTCATTCTGTTATAGCAACACAAAAGTGACTATGACACATAGTAAGTGAAGGGACTGGGAAACAGAAGCTGGCAGTTAGCTAACTCAATGTCCATTCTCTCCTCACTTCTTGAACTGTCTCAACTGCAACGGCCAAAGTAACCGTGGATTTTCCCACTTTCCCAGCCACACTTGATGCTAGGAATGGACACATAGCAAATTTCTGCCCAGAGAGGTCTGCTGAATTAGGACTACTGCTGGGCCTGAGCAGGAAATAGGATAAGGAGAAGGTCAAAAGAATGGCAGAGTCTTCATTCATGACATTATCAATCCATGCTATCACCAGCAGCTGCCTATGCCAGATTTCTTAACTATGGAGAAAACAAGGCCTTATTTACAGCAATGTTAGCTGGCATTCCTATTATTTAAACCAAAGCTCCCCTGGCTGGCTGGTCTCTGACTGCAAACATCACAGTCATGCCATGACACCATTGAGAACAGAAAGTAGCCACTTTATTTCATTCCTTCTAAGAACATGTTCTGTAGCATTTTAACTTTTGAAAAGTCAGGATGCAAATTTAAATTTAAATTTAAAAGCCACCAGCTTTTTAAACCATTTTGCCTATTGTTCCATTTTTGGAACAACACAAACAATAGAATTTTTCTAAGTAACATATGAATTTCATGCAGAAAATTTAAAAAATTGCAACCTTCAGCATAAATGCCTTAATCTTAACATAATTAATGAAACAGACTACTGGACCTATTAGGGTTCTGGGTTTTCCAAAAGTCACGCTGTCCTTCACACTGCCTCCTGTTTACTCATGCAAATAGAGAGAGATGGGAGGGTGAGCCTTCATCTCTGGGACTCAAGTTAACAGAACTGCTTAAATAAACACAAGCCCTAGACCCTCCTTCTATTAAAGAATAACAACGCTTTGAAATGGAAACTTAGGTCATTCCTACTCTAGGCATATTTATGCTGCTGTTGAGTAAAACTTTCTTTCAAATTGTCCTTGGGACCTATGATACATCCTTTTGGTTAACTGCAGTGGTTTCCAAGTTATGAGAATATATTTGATATTTGAAAACTGCATGTCACCTCTGGTCAAACCTCATAAATAATGATCAAAACAATGCATATGGGTTGTTCTAAAAGGATAAATAAAATGAGTCTCTTGACTCCCAAGATTACTTTGAAGAATAACAAGACTCTAATCATTTTATTTCTCTACCTCCTATCAGCTCTGGATGACCTGCAAGTGGAATGTTCCCAAAAGCCAGAATCCCCCAGTCCCCATTCCCCATCCTCCTCAGAGAGAGGCAGGGGAGACATCTGTCTCAGTTCTGTCCACTTGATGTAAATGTTTAAAAAGCCAAGAGTGAAGCCGGGCATGGTGGTTCACGCCTGTTATCTCAGCACACAGGAGGCTGAGGCAGGAGGATCGCTGTGAGTTCCAGACCAGCCTGGGCTACATAGTGAGTTCCAGGTCAGTCTCAACTACATAGTGAGACCCTGTCTCAAAAACAAACAAATAAACAAACAAAACAAAAAACCACCACCAAGAATGGACTGGTCTTTTAGTAACTGCACAGATCTCATCCTTCCAACTTTCCATCTGGCCCAAGACAAACTCCAATTTTCCCTGAGGTGAATACATTTCCAAACCTCAGAGTGGTGGCAAACCCCACTTTTCTCATCTGGCAAGCACTGGGACGCAGGATACAGGAACTCTGCTTTGATGTAGATGGTTTGTGGATGCTATTAACGCTGGAGAAACAGAACAGACTGCTGAGTTTTTCCAATGCTCTTTGATATTCCCTAGGTAGGGTTAGGAACTGTACCATCTGGCTTCAAAAATATCACCTGACTGCCTCTTTCTTCCACCTTTTACCAACTTCTGTAAATGCAAACTGGTAAGAAATAGAACGTTTCGCAACCTTTTATACTTCAGAGGGCAGAAAGAGAGTAAAACAATGCATACAGTATTAAGATTATCTAGATTTGCCAGGGATTCACTAAGTCTATCCCTCTGCTTCTAGGCAAGAAGACTATTTCTAACACTAGTGGGAAGGCAGAAGGAAATCTGTTTCAAAATTATCAGAAGAGATCCCTTGGTAAGGTAATCTTAGCATTAATGACAGATCCAGATTCCTTGAAATATATAACAAAACCAATATGGCCACATGGAATATGTGTGTGATTTAGGAGAGTATTTTATCTTGCCCCAGTTTGTGCTCAATGAATCAAATTCAAATCAATAGCCTGGAATGCAATTTTAAAATTCTGAGCAAGGACAAATGTCCCACACATGCTACCTTTTGTGCTTCACTGGCTGCGCTGTTATCTGCAGTTTCTTTCACAGGGTTCATTTTTTTTTTTTAGTGAAAGACGAGTTAGACAGACACTGGATTCCGGCTATAGAAGGAAGCACAGGGGCTTCTACAGAAAAGCAGAGTTCAAATACCCTTGATCAATTTCAGATTCAAACAGCAAAGTATCCACATAACACAGAGATCGCTGGACTCCCCTTTGCAGCCTGTTTCTACTCTTGTCCACCTTGAAATAGGTCTCAATTCCCAGTACTGATACATATCCTCTAAAATAACCAACTCCAAACAAACTGTCAAGAAATGGACATTGTGCTGAATATTCAGTGGGGAGAGGAAGATTCACATTTCATCCTGGACAAATTAAGAATAGAGTGTTGGGCCCGGGATCTAGCTCAGTGCTTCTGGCACTTGCTTCACAAGTGCAAGGACCTGAGTTTAATTCCTGGTACAAAAACAAAAAACAAAACAAAGAATAGAATGTCGGTCAACATCTGGGCTTCTGAGCTCCTTAAAGATGTTCTCCCCTGTCACTATCCCATCACTCTTCTTTCTCTTCACCCACCTTCAGCTCTGCCGTCATTTATGATATAATCTTCAACTCAAGGGTGGAAACCAGCCAGACCAACAATGGGGCCACTTTGTTTCTCCTGCTGTCTTTCCTTCCACACGACTCTCCCTACTCTGCCACCTCCCCACCTTCCAAGTAGTCAAAAGTATTTAAGCAACAATCCAGACCCATTCTTATGGAGGAATTCTGCTGCAAATTAAGCTTTCCTTCCCATCCTGGTCTACCAACAAACTATGTTGTTACAAATATGCACTCATTAATATTAATGATAACCCTGTGAGGATGGTTACAATCTCCAGCATACTGAAAAGGTAACAGGGAAAGGCTCTGGGAAATCTAGACACTCACCCATGCTAACACCCTATTTCAGGTTTGCCAGAGCCCTGATCAGTACCCTTAACTGCCCTATAGTGCTGCAGTGCAAGGCAGGTGGGTCTGGGAAATGTGCAATGTGAACTGAGGATGGGACATGTGTCTAGGGCTGCTTCCTTTACATTCCAGGCAGCACCTGTTCCCATTATCCAAGCAGCTCCTGAAAACCCATCTGTGAATCACCTTTGAGAAGATTCTGTCTTCTCCTAAGCCACTGTATTCACAGACAGAATGCAAGAGATTTCATTATTTTGTTGCTTACAGAGGTTAAGGGACTTGATAAGACCAGGCAGCTTGTTAAGTGCTACTGACAGTGGGATTTATTAAAGGCTGAAATATCTAACTAACATCCAGGTGATGCGTTGAAACACTATGCCATTATACCTCTCTAAAGGAAGTCCAGCCTTGGATGATGTTTAGATGGAGAAAAGGAGCATTTCTTTCCTTTCCAAAATGACTGCATGAAGCCAACATTAAGCAGGGATTAGTAACTTCTTTTGATTAGGTAGACATACTTACACGGAGGTGAAGTGTGAGCTAGGGGAAACCCCTTTCCCCAGCACCTCCTAATATTCCCCACCTGCTACAAGAACATACAGATATGACTGGTGATTGGGCCAGATTAGGTTATATGTGTGTCAAACACTATATACATTTCTACTTCTGCCCCATGTTTCCAGCCAGGCAAGAAGCCAGGGTCTATTCCTTCTGAGTAGGCTCAGTAAGAAGCCTTTGCTGTCTCAGGCTTGGTAGATTGTTGGTGGTAAGGTCTGGATGTAGGAGGCAGACTCAAAATCTAAGCCATAAGCTACAACCTAGCTGCTCCAAAGATCTTTACAACAGGCTAATATGAGAGGAGTATGCTGATTGTTTTGCTCTTTGATCCTTGTGCATTTAGCTCTACAGAGAGTTACAAAGAGAGGGGCCTGGTAGCACATAGCCATTCCTTGGGTCCCAGGTGCAATACTTACAATATATTCAAAACTTAAGAGTGACCATATAATCAATAATCCACAGAAGCATATTTGAATGAAAGAGAAATATTAATTTAACTAGGCCAGGATGATTCCCTGGTAGTCCTAAGCCACTTTCTTGGATCACACGGAGACTCTATATAATTTTTTACATAATAACTAGATAAGAAAATGTAAGTCTAATAGCAATAGGTAAAATTATGAAACTCAGTTCTGGAAGACTCAAAGTTCTAAGAGGAAGAAGAAAGAAATAAAGATATTGAAGAAAGCAGACTATTTACAAAGTCTGTATGTCCTGCCTATACTTTCTATTTGTAGCATTCATAAAACCAGCTAATTGGTAGAAAGCATCTTAAGGGTCTACAGGGTACTTGAGGCTGTGCTATGTCAAATAATAAGCCTATGACACTGCTGGAGAGGTGCAGCATCCTCACAGAGGCCACGCAGTAACTCAAGCCTGGACTCTGGATAGCCCAGTCTTCTCTCTCCTGCCCACACTGAAAGCTTGTGTGTGTGTGTGTGTGTGTGTGTGTGTGTGTGTGTGTGTGTGTGTTTAAGATAGTCAACAGCAATTCACAGAGGAATGGATTATTTATGCCTTTAACCTCTTTAACATGCCATTTGTAAGATGAAGTCAAGTCTCTGCGACCATTTATTGGGATGCTGAGGATCCAGGTGATTGGGCATCAAGAATTTTAAGAACAGGAAAAAAGAAAATAAGGGCTTTACTGTTTTCTCATTTTTGGAATGCAAACATTATCAAGAGAGATATGAAATCTAACTTAGGTAGCAATGGGAAAGACTGAAAAATTAAGGAAGAAGTGTTTAATATTACCAAACTTTCTGAGGTCTGTATATAGAGAATAGTAGAATGATTTATAATCTTAATCACTAGTAGTGAATTTCTGTTTTTAGGTTTTCTCCAAGGTACACTGGTATGGTAGAGGTTATGCCAATAGAGGAACTTTTCTTCATTAAAACATTACCACTACTCCCTGCTTAAAGTGCTTATGCTGGGAAACTGTCCTCCTTCCTACTTTGGTGAAAGAAAATCACCTGTATACAGACAAAGGTAATGTGATGATTAAAAGACTTAACTAAAAAGAGAAATGGGTCAACCTTACCCATGATTTTCCTAACTTGGCCACCTGTCGGTAGAAAATAAACATTATTGCTCCATCAACATAAACTGGAATTGTCGTGGGAGGATCAGACAAAGGGCTCCTGGGGAGGGGTAGGAAAACTCACCAATGACTACACTATGGCTCCAGATAAGACACTAAACAATTCACAAGGGCTTTGATCCTCACCAATACAGCAGCTCAGGGTGAAATCTATTTTCTAGAAATTTCAAAGCATGTTTATAATATATAAAGAAGAATAAGACCAAAAAGAAATAACATGCCAATCAGAAAATAACAATAACTTTATAAACTTGTACAGGGTCTAAACATGTGTGTTCACTTCCCAGAGACTCAGGGTGATTCACTTCCAACTTTCTGGAATGATCTCCAAAGCTTCTGGTTTCCGGGGCAGCCTCCTTCAGGTTGTTCTATCGGAGTTCCCAGCACCAAGGTCACAGCAACTCTGGTTCGACACTTGTCCACGGCCTACATCATGTCCAGCTGCAAACAAGAACATATTTAGAAAGGAACCCAGGCATCTGCAGACCACTGCTGCTCTGATGAGAGAGTATGCTGAAAAGCAAGTATGTATAGACTTGCACACTACTCACTGCTAACTATTTTAGGAATTAAATACCAAATATTTCCTTATTTCAGTACTAAGAACTTCTCTATAAAAAGGATAAAAGCATAGCATATAGTTTTTGCGGCACAATTATCAGGCTTAAAGGCAAGAAGTTCCCAAACAGAAAGATGGATGGAAAAGCCAACATTCACAGTTTCCCAGGCACTTACACATGGTATATCATTATAACCAGAAATCCTCAAATGCCTATCAGTCTAGTTTGTTTATATTAAATGAGAACACTTAAGAAACTAGCTTTTTAAAAGCTGTTTTTATTTGCCAACCCACACAAATTGCATGATGTATTGCTTATTTTTGGTTAAGAGCAGTTTTTGTAAATTATAATATTTTGCTATTAGCCTTCCTAGCTCCATTTAGCCCTAGAACCATGAGGATTAATCTGAATGAACAATGTAGCTGAAACCACAGAACACAAGGATTTCCATTACAAAATTACCTGTCTGGTTAAATTTATAATGGCAATAAATAATAGTGTAAGGAGCTTCTGGTGTGTTAGAAATTAAAACACAAATAAGAAACAAGCCCATGATAAGCAGCTTTTGTGGCTGCATGGGTCTTTAGAGTACCTGATATACATTAAAAGTACTTACTAAGTCATCCACATCACCACCTTCTTCCAATACAGCTGCTGTGTCTTTATCTGGATTTTCTTTGGGAGCCAGAAACTGCGAATAGAAAGTCAAGTCATGATACTAAATAACATTTTTGCCTCTTTTGTTTTGTTTTGAGACAGGGTCACACTATGTAGTTGAGACTGACCTGGAACTCACTATGTAGCCCAGGCTGGTCTGGAACTCACAGCGATTCTCCTGCCTCACCCTCCCGAGTACTGGGATTACAGGCATGCGCCACCACACCTGGCTCATTTTTGCCTCTTTTGATGGAGGACCAGTCTGCTAGCATTGCCAAGAGAGAACCTAGGAAGGCCTCCTTAGCAAAGCCTAACTGTAAATGGTCCAAAGAAACATCGCCTTGTCATATTCTCCTTCCTCTGGCTCTGGACAAAAGGATCAATTCTGAGGTTTAACATTCCAGGCTAACTAGTCACCAGAGAAAGTTCTTCTGAAAAGGGAAGAAATGACAGGGCTTGTTAAGTTGGTAACTTTGAGAAGGGTTCCACATCAGCAGAGTGGACAGTATTTCATTTGTGATTCCACAGAGAATAAGCTGGCATGTTAAGGTTAAGAAACTAATCAAGCACCCCAAGCCAATATGCCTTGGATCCTTTTGAAAGGAGCATAAGAATGAAGATTATAATTAGTATTCCTGAATCTCGCTGAGGACAAAAGAAGTAAAAGCAGGACATCTTATGAGAAATGTGAAACACAATAAATAGTGAGCTTGCGAGGTTGTTTAATCTCTTTTATGGAAATCTTTCCATTTGTATTAGAAACTGAAAGCAGGCCAATGAGAAAACTTCTGTTGAGCACCAGTGTTCTAGACCTGGATCTTCTAAAAGACAGAGAAAAGCAAACACCCTGAAGCCAAGTCTACAGGGATCTAGGATGAATTCAGACTTTTAAAAGATAATGAATGCCCTGAAAATTATGTAAACACTTTTCCTAAACTTTTCCTCTAAGAGATAATGGCAAGGAGTCTTTTCAAACTTCAAGGCATATGGCCACTGTATGTTAAGAACTCTGACCGATATAGTTCCATTCTAAAATGAAGTGATTTCCTGGTAACATCATGTCCACAAATGTTGAAAGGGACAAGCCCAGTGGAGTGAGAATTATAAAGGGGGTGGTGAAATGTGGGGCAGGGCTGTCTCAGCATCCTTCTGCCTGTCTTTCCAAACTCACACACAGGTAACATGATGGTGACAGCAAAGGCCATTCCTGTCTAAGTGGACACTGCCTTCATCAACACCATGGACATGACCACAATGGCTTGTTGATTCAACCTCTCCCCTGCGCTCTTTCTCTCACTATTCACTGACCTCTATTTTGACGGAATGATTAAGGAATTTATCTTCTGTTAAGGACATCCATAGTCCATTTTTTTAACCTCAAACGGGACCGGGAACAGGGCTGGGAATCAATACTATAAGAGGAAATCCTGACAACAGGAGCAGACAATCTGGACTAGAACTGTGATACAACTTCCGTATCATTAATTCTATTTACTCCAGGTGATTATTAATAAAGGTATCTGAGGGCCAATTACAGATAAATGAATAAGAAATACATACAATTGCACATGGTTTATATCTAAAAGTTAAATAAACTGCTCTACCCTAGATTCTCAAATTAATCTTTATGGTTCTCCTGATTATTATTACTACTAAAAATAATTTTTATTCTGTACATTGCCTCTCCTCATTATCATTAACTACTACATGATTCTCCTTATATCAGGAACATGGCTAATGGATAAGATTTTTCCAGTCAGGGTAAGGACTGGAGATGTAACTCTAGGCCTGCATGAGAACCTGGGCTTAATTCCCCCAACCCCATCTCTACTCCCCTACCCCACCCAGAAAAGACCTAGTTGGGGTAAAAAGAGCTGTCCGCTGCCATAAACTTCTATGTGGCCACAAATGACCAGAACCTCCCAAATGACAAACACCACAGGGTCAGTGGTACAAGTCACTAATTGTTCACCTTGGTAGCCTGAAATATAACAGGTAGTTATTGATGAATCTAGAAAATCCTTAATATTTTGTGGCATTCAGCCTCTAAAAGCTCCAATTCTTATTCCCTCCCAACCTTCAAAACCCTTTTCATAGTACAATTAAAGGGAAAACAAGGATAGCACTGTGTGCACAGTACGAGCATGGTATATAATTAATCATAAATGGCACATCCCCAACACAAGGCTGCCTTCCTAGGATGAGAGGAGCAGCATAAGAAAAAGCACTGCATTTCCATCAAGTGCTAAACATCTGCAGCTGATTTCCCTGACAGATCTGCTTCCCGTTTCTGTGTAAGCAAATTATGGGTAAAAGCTGGGCTGCCATCCATTATCCGTCTTACAACTCCAGGCCAGGCTGATCTCTTACACATATCGCTCCTCCTCATCAGAGTTTTTAACTGCTAGTAATTTCCAGGCTATGCAGTGACAGGGAGGCTACAGACAGAATTCAAGGATTGGCCTGCTTTCTCAATAAAAGGAAAAGATTCTCTGAATGCAGCAGAAAGGGTCACGAGTCAACTCTCCTCTTTTCTCTAATTCTTTCCCTCTGAAATGTGCTGAAAAGGTAGAGAATAAACAGAAAAGACACTTCCGTGACACTTTTTCTTCCTCAAACCATCATTTACCTGGAGTTAACACAAAGAGACTCCTTACCTGGAGATCTTTATGAAATGAATAAACAACTACTTTTTAAGTACAATGAAATACAATCCTGCCACATGCAAAGGAGTGGAATCAATAAGTTCTATGTAGGAGCCGCCAGTCTTATCCCACCAGAAGACTAAAACCCAACAATGGGCTTGTGCTGAGACCCTTATCAAGGCCCAGATTAAAAACACACAGCTTCCATCAATCTGGTTCCAACACTAGCAGGTGATTCAAATGTATTAAAAAGCTTTAAGACGAAAGTTTACACAAAATGGCATAAATATGGGTTTCATTAATGTTACTGGTAGATTATTTCATGCACCAAAGGCAGAGAGTACAGTAGAGAAATCCTCCAGGCTAGTGTGAAAAACAGAGCCATAACCTTAGCTCTGTTAGTTTCTCAGGGACCCTGAGCAAGCCACCTGATCATTTTACAACTAATCTTCCTCAAAAATAAATGGAAACACTACTGTTTATTTTACCTATCTCATGGGGTCATGCTGAGTTCCAGATGAAATAAAGTATGCAGAACTGCTTTGGAGTAGTGTAATTTTTATATACTAATTATTAGGAAGACACCCCCATATATGTCCACCACATGATTTGTACAAGAATATATTTTTATTCATAATTGCCAAAGTCTAGAAACAAATGTCTATCATCAGCATAATGGAAGAGTAAATATAATCATAAAAGGGATACTACATAGCTACAATAATAAATAATTCATAACATGGATGGGTCACAAAAGACATGATTCCAATTATTTGAAATAACCAGTAATGCTACTCTCCTAACCCTAACCCTAAGTCACTAGACGTTATCTAGGGGGACAGGAGGATTCTGCCTGGGAAAGTACCAGGGACACTCTCAAGTGTTAGGCACCCACAAATATGAATGTGTAAAAAATCCAGCAAAGTTGTATGCCACATGATGATTATTATATGAATTCAAACTTCAAAATTGTATCTTTAAATTATCAAGTTCTAAACAAATGGGCAACACTGTGATATCCACTATTGCTTTTCTTATACTCATATACAGAAAAACTAGAGAATTAAAGCAGAAAAGAGCAAAGGAAAATGTTACAGGGTGCAACCAGGGCCAGCAGCTAGAGTAATTAAAATATTAAACTTTGTCTCTGAACTACTCACAAAATTTTAGCGATCCCTTACACAATTACAAACAAAACCACTTGTACTCTTAAAAAAGGGCACAAGCGTGTCTCCTATCTAGGCGCATTTGGCTGGTGGAGCCAGTGAGGAGGCACAGTGGTGTGACAGAAGGGTGGCTGGAGAAAAATTCAGGGGTCTAGGTTCCAGTCAATTCTGTTAGGCACTAACTTGCTAGGAGATGCTGAACTAGTCAACTTCACCTCCCTATATAGTGTTGTAGATGAAATAACCAGATCACTAATCTCTGAGCCTCTGTGATGCTAAAGCAGAAAATCATCAAGTATCAACAACAAGGAAGGCCAGATGAGGCAGTTATAAGGAAATCAAGTGCTAAAACTCTTCTCCAACCCCATAAAGATTGTATTTAATGGTTATTGACACAGCTCAGCCTTTTGGACTCCCATAAAAATATTATCCCAATGCTATGGGGATAAATCCTCTTTCTCCCTGTGTTCTTAAAATGGAGTAAAAAGGGAAACAAAGTCTCTGTAAATAGGGAGGGGTGGAGGGGTTAAAGGGAGAGCAGGGGAATGAGGAAAAAAATAAGAACCAAGATACATCATGTAAAGGTACAAGTTCCCAATGATGAATGTGACTGCACTGTATGCCAAAATGTACCAATAAACTCAATGAGAGAAAAAAAATGGAGTAAAAAGTACAGAGAACTGGGTGTCAGTCCTAGAACTGGATTCCTGGTTAGTGACACCAAGAGGGTGGTGACCGTGAAAGCACACAGCTACACAACGACTCTACCCAACATCCAATGCTAGTAGCATGTCTACCTCAACCACCACCTAGATTCAAAATGTCAGGTGAAAGAACTGACAGGTTATAATGATAATAAAGATGAGTTCTAAAAGAAGGGCAATATTAATTCATGTTTGGGTTTCAGTGAAATGAGGGGTACTGAGAAACTTAACAAAAAGGATTACCTAAAATATGGAAGAATTGTCTGTCTGCTCAGGGGCCAACTTACCTCTGCTTCTACAACAATCATAAAACACAATGGAGAGAAATGGCTCCCCTTCAGATGTTATACAAGTGTAAAGTTATAATTCTCACTTGAAACTGATGCACCTGGATAATTATTTTCCTTCAAATGTCAGCAATTAATAACAAGAACTTAAAAGCTTCCTAACTTTAAATTACATATGGTAAATACTTTGAAAGAATTTAAATGGACTGTGTGAACTGTTCTTCTATCTCTC